TAGCACTCGCACTCGGCGCAGCAGGCCTAAACCCCGGATATTACCACGACGTATTCCGCCCTTTATCTTACTGCATACAACCGTAAAGCCCCTACGAGACCTCATGACTTCCTTATGAAAGCTCAAGGGGTAAGATAGGGGCCTTCATGAGTAGAATAAGGTTTTTGGGGTACACTATACTACAAGTATAATAAGGAGCGCCCCCCAAACAGGGTTTGCAATTCTTTCGGCCCCTATATCATTGGATCAATTTTTTGCAGCTTTTAGGTTCAAGGTCCCCCCTCGCACGACCCCTACAGCAAACCGTTAGGGTTCAGGCTTTAAGTTTAGGGTTTAGGGTTCAGGGCGTGAGAGCAAGATCGTATCTGCATTCTGCAGCCCCGGCTCTCCCAGAAGTAGCGCAAGAAGCAGCGCGAGATCACAGAAACACCGGCCCTAAACCCGACACGTGCAACTGAAGATTTCATCTTGAAGCCTGCAACCACAATAACCATGACAACCGAAGAACCAAAAGGATAACCAGAACAATTCGATCCCTTAGACAACACAGTAGTGCATATAATGCCAAACCATAATCATCACAACAGAAATTGAAACCCTAAACCCTAAACCCTTAACCGAATGATGCGGAGCTTTGGGCACGCGGCCTGAGTGACGGTGCCCTCTTGAGGGATGGGGATACAACCTCGGCCGCTCACCAGAACTAGGGGCTCTGAGACAATGCAACAATCACTACAATGCGGTGGATGATATGAACCCTCCTGCATTACCCATAATATGGAATATACCATAATTCCCATAGACAAGGGTCCTTAATGTAAAGCAGGATTTATATCATCAGCAATAGGAGTCTGGGTAAAACAAAGCACGTATCAAGGGAATATCAGTGGATGGCCTTTCCCATTCTCATTGCCGGAGTCATGCTTGTCCCACGAGTTTTACACTTTACACATCAGATTTCCCCAAAAGAGTTTGCAGGGTAAGTCCAAGGAAAGGGACACTTTGCTTTCTATCGTCCTAGAACGACATGGGGCTGACGTTTAAGTCGACAACTCCTGGAACGGATATCGCGACAACACCCTCGAACTTTTCATTCATCACCTTCAACATCATCTTGCACACTCTTTCCAACCGGTGGCATGGGCCTACAACCACCCAACAACTGTGCTCTGCATCGACATCCGAACATCTCCGAAACACCTGAAGAACAAGCCCCAAAAGGCAACTTTCCCAAGTGCCAACGCCACCACAAAATTTTTTTAAAAGCAGACTGCCTGGACCCTACCCTCCCAAAAGCCCAGCAGTGTCTGACATTCCTCGGAGCTCTAAGCCCTGAAATCTCGAATAGCTATCAGCATCCAGAACCTTGTGCTATGTTCTCTGAACACCCTAAACCCTAAAACCCCCTGTGTTCTCTGAAGACTTCTCCGGGGTCGGGGCCTGTGGTGTTCGCGAGCAGCACGGCAGCCTCGCACAAAATGCCTCGGCGAGGATCTGCCCTTTGAGATGTTTTGGTTGTGCCTTTGGATGAGTTTGTACCGCGAGTTGAGCCGGTGAAGTGCTGCTGCTGCTGCTCAGGACTTGAAAAAGCAAACCTGGGGCTCCTTGGGCTGAGAGCCATGTATATATATATATATAGGCTTATGCACATGCGTAAGTTTACACACACAGAGCCACATGCACACACAAATGTGTGTATACATATATATATATATAGGGGTGTCCATGTACCTCTCTCTCGCTGTAACTGTATATACGCACAACCTATACCTCCTGAAATATGTGTGTATATGTATGTGTGTATATGTATGTAAGTATATGTATGTAAGTATATGTATGTATGCATGCATGCATGCATGCATGCATGTATGTATGTATGTAGGTATGTATGTGTGTGTATCAGATGTATCAACATACACATACATTTATACATATATATATATACACATACACATATGTATCAATGATATGCAAATGAATACGAACATGCATTGGCCTATGTTCATGTGTATGTACATGTACATGTTGTATTTGTATGTATGTGTATGTGTAATTGCAAGCCCATGTCCGTATATCTATATGTATGTATATATATATATATATACATATATATATATGAACATAAATATGTATATACATACGTGCGTTCGCATGTGCATATGCAAGAACTCAGTCACCTGAAGCCTCGAAGCTCCGAGCGTCCGGGCTCAGCTCCCCTTCGTAGGCTGCATCCAGCGTGGAGCAGTTCCTGATCACTGTGTCGGAGCCTCGGTGAAGTCTTTGGCTAGAGTTTCCGTTGGCTAGAATAGAGAGAGAGAGAGAGAGATAGTGAGTGCGAGAGAGCGAGAGAGACACACACATATATATATATATATGGGTATAGTTCTATTCGCGTCCCCCGACGGGTTCCCTCATGATCATCATGATCATGGACGACGATGCTGCTGCTGCTGCTGATGA